CTCCATGTCTGGCACAAGAGATTGTTTCGCTGCAACTGCCGCTTCTTTCTGTGTGGCAATTATCTCTTCAATCGTTGGTGACCTTTCGGTAGCAGGTCGTGGTTCGAAAGGGTTCCTTTTGAGATTCACGTTCTGTTACTTCCTCTTTGGTTTTATCTGGTAGCCTTTCATTTTGGGTAGCAGATCGTGGTTCGAAAAGGTTCGAATTACGCTCTCGTTCCAAGTTCTCAGTTGCTGGTGACCTTTCGTCTTCCTTTCCCAGTGCCTCTGGTACTGGGATAACTTTTCCGACTTTTCCATTTTCATTTTTCGTTTCCAGTGCCTCTGGTACTGGGATAATTCTTCCTGCTGCACTTTTGTCATTCCGGTGCCTCTGGTACTGGGATGACCTTTCTCTCCCTTCTGTGCCAGCAAGGTCCGATTTAATGTCTTTTCGATCTCCTGCTGGATCATTTGCAACTGCTCAAATGGTGACAATTCTTTTCGCGTCATCTTTTCTTTTCGTTTCCGGTGCCTCTGGTACTGGGATTAGCGTTTTATTAACCATTTGAGCATTTCCTGTTTTGCAAGTTCGGTGACCTTTCCGACTTGAACTTTGGCGACTGGTTTTGGGTCATCTTCTTTTCTTCTTCACCTTCATTATCCACAGTACGAATTTCTTTTCCAAAGTCGAATCCCAATAACACTTGTACGTCGTCACACTTCGGTCGGACGTAGAAGAATGTTCGCTTGTCTTCTTTCGTAAGGTCACTGGTGCTACACAGTAGTGCGTCACCAGGAATCCTGACGTTCCGCTAATTCCATTTATCTTCACCAATCTATCTGGTGGCAATGGGAGCATATGAGTCCATTCTTCTCGCAAAACGGTTTGCTGATCAGCGACGTCTCAGCGCCGGTGTCCAACATTGCGTTGACCTTTATGTCTCCCACTTTCACTTCGTGTGTGTATGCTTCAATTCTCTTGGGCAATTTTCCGTTTTGAATCTTCAGTGTGTGAATCTTACATTTCACAGGAATGAGCGATACTGGTCCCGGATCCATATCGGGAAAGCACTTGTCCTTTGCTGGAGTGCTATGACCTTTCAGTATCTCGCTCAACTTATCAATCCTATGTGGAACGTTAGTCCGAACATCGTAATATTTTCGCGGCTTTTCTTTATTTGTTCGCTTCTCTGTAGCCATTTTATCACCGGTGACCTTTTCGGCACGTTCTGCACTTGCTCATTTGCTTTTGTGCCATGCATGTGACCTTTAGTCACTTCATTTATCGTCTGATGGATCAGTTCCTCTTTACGGTTTTCATTTCGCTTATCTCTCAGCTTCTCAATGACTTCACTTGTTATTTGGTCAGCTCGCTTCAATTCGTCTTCTTCGCTATCTTTCATCTCGTCTGGTGACCTTTCATATGTAATCATATCATATCCTTTTTCGGTCATCCATTCGATCACCTTCGCGGACACTTCATTGTTCGTTTTTGTCTGATCAATTTGCGAAGACATCCCGTCTGTTCGGGCTGGTGACTTGTCATTGGCATCTTTTTGCAGTGCCTCCGATAAGTCCCGTGACCTTTCAACTGTACCGCTCTGTTGCGTTTGCGTCATCTCGTTTGATCGTCCTTTTTGTTCGTTTTGCGCTAAGTCCTGTGACCTTTCGTTGCGCTTCATGACAAATCCGCCACCTGTCAACTTTTGTATGGGGACTTTTTCTCCATAATTCGGCGGTTTATCCTGTGGCGGAGCATTACGTGAATAATTCCAGTCAGCTCGAATGTCTTCTTATATTCCTCTGGATTGAATACTGGGACTGGGTTCGATGACCCTTGCGCTGGTTTCCCGGTAACCAACTCTTCCAGTCGCTTTCTTTCACATTGCGTTCGCAACTGTTGCATGTCCCAGTAGTCCTCTTGTGACATTTCGCTTTCTGCTTTGCTTTCGGTGTCACGGGTATCCACATCCCGTGATTGCCATTCGGTCTGTAGGCCACTTTTGCCACTTCTCCTTCTGTTGTGTGTTACTGCGTCCACAAGTGAGTCGTCGGAGTTCTGTGCCATTTCATTATTCTTTTGCTGCGCTGTTCGCAGTGTCAAGTCTGTTTCTTGACCTTTTAACACGACGCTATCGCCGTGACCTTTGGCATTCACACTGCTCCTTGACCTTTCACTTGAACTTTTCCAACAGAAGGTGACCTTTCATCTTTACTAATGACGGTGATATTCTGCTTAATCCATTCTTGCCTTATTCGCTTCTCTTCTTCGTCTTCTGAACAATTCCAAAACTTTGGCTTTGGCTCCCCGTAACAATCGCAACTTGGCTCATTCGCCTTATCGTTTTCTGCCAAAAATTTCCGGAATTTCGCATGCTGCTCGTTTTCTTCTTGCGCAGTATCGTTCTGCGGTTTCTTCTGATTAAGCAGCGCCTGTTTAATCTTTGCGTTCCGTTGTGCGCGTCGTTGCGCTAACACTTCTTCGCTGCAATACGGTGACCTTTCATTTTGCTGCAGTGTCGCGCTACCGTCACGACAATTTCCACTCGCAGTACCATTCTGCGGTGACCTTTGGTCCCGTTGCGCGCTTCCACTCGCAGTACCATTCTGCGGTGACCTTTGATTCTGCGACGGTGTCCTATAACCGTTCCATTTCCTTTTGCGATGACGGCATCCATATAGCCGTTTCTCTTTGCTGTGGCGGCATCCATCTAGCCGTTTCTTGTGGTTGCGGCATCCATATAGCCGGTCCACTTTGCTTTTCGCTGACGGCATCCATATAGCCGTTGCAGTGGTCACATTCACTGCAGTACCATTCTGCAGTGGTGACCTTTCCCTTTATCCGGTGGTTTAGGGTCGGGTCGATCAGTAGGCTCACCGGTGCCTACTGATCTTGCCCGTTTCCCTGAACCGGCGCTCCCACCTTATTGCGCGCCCTGCACATTTCCTTGTTGTTGTCCGATATCGTTTGCCGGGCCGCCACCGTTGTTGTCTGGCCACCACCCTGTTGGTAGTTTCCTTGGCCGCCGCCATTGTTCTGGCCTCCTCTGAAGTTTCCGCGGCCGAAGCCTCTGTTTCTTCCTCTGAAGCCGCCGCGACCGAAGCCACCGCCGCGATAGCCGCCGCCTTAGCCGCCCCATTTCCATTTCCATAGTTTCCGTTACCTTGCTGATTCTGGAAGTTCGCTTTCGCCTGGTACCATTGCGTAATCAGGTCATATCCATTTGCGACCGCTTGGCGCCAACCACCGAGCCCGCGCAGTCGTTGCCACTCGTTGAAGGCAAACAGGTTTGGGTTCTGTTCCGGTGGTGTGTTGGCGAATTTGCATCCCTGGGTCTGGTGGTTGCCATACATACAGTATTGGCACATCTGAACGTTGTTCGCCACCCATCCGTCAATCATTTGGAACTTGAATTCTGTCCGTGACCCTTGATTCTGCTGGTAGTTCTGGTTTCCTCTATTTGGCTGAAAGTTGCCTTGACCTTGACCTTGATTCTGAAAGTTTCCTTGGCCTCCATTCCAGTTTCCATTCCCATATCCATTTCCGCCAAAGTTACCGTTACCCCCTCCTTGTTGTGGTAACCCGACATTCATGGGGACCATATTCTGTGGTGCAGGTGGGGCCACATTCTGTGGAGCCACATTCTGGGCTACTGGTCTCACTTGAGCTGCTGCCTGTATCGCCGCCACCATCGCGTATGTTATCGGTTGCCCCGTCTGACTGTCGATAAAGGTCACCTTTTCGGTGACCTCTCTGACCGGAGTCTCCACGCGGTACTCAGCCGGCTGCTGGGCTGGCGCAGCTGCCATTCTCTGTTGCGGCACGTTTTCAACTTGACCTTGGCGGATCGTCACGTAATCCTGGGTGCGTTGACCTTTTGGCGCCTTGTATTTCTCTTCGCCAGTGGCCCAATGTCGAAAGAAATCCTTCACGTCCGTTGGCGTTTTGCACTTCTGTATGCGCAATGCCTTGTAGAGTTCGTTATCCCCTCTACACCCTTCAATTAGGAAACCCACAGCTTGTTTCTCTGTGATGATCCGTTTTGCTTTAAATCGCATCATCGCCTGGTAATACTGATCAAGCGATTCTTTCCCGAGTTCGAATTTCCTTGCATAGGCCTCACGTAAGCCTAAGACTTCTTCGTCTCTATCGCCATATTCATCTTTGAATTTCTCCATCCATTCAGTTATTGAATATTCAATTCTGTCTTCTGCTGCGATGTCTTTTCGCCTTCGAACCAAGTTTTAGCAGGACCTTTCACCGCACTAGCAATCTCAATCATAATTTGGTCGTCCGTCAGCTGGTACGTCCTTTGGGTTTCTTTACCAACCGTGTCCATCCACTCACAGTGTCGCGGCTGCCGTCAAAGGTCATGAGGGTGTTTTCCGAGCCATCGAATTGAGTGCCTTTGTTAATTGTACCGCTGTGTTGGCTGCTCTCTGGTCCTCGTCTTCTTCGCTACTCTCATCATCATCGTGAGTTCGTTGCGCCTTCCATAACGAGACTTCCTTGGACGTTCCTGCCGGCTGGGGGGTCTGTCTCGTCGTCCTTCGTCGATAAACACATTCGTTTCGTGTGCGGGGGAAATTGTGAAGGGTCACCTCGACTCATATGCGGGTAACTTTCCGAAGGTGGCTCTTTGTCGTCTTTGACCTTTTCGCCATCTCTTTCATTTTAACACTCCCCTTACCGGTGCCGGTTCGTAGCGGCATCTCAAAGTGGAAGCTTTGCCCGTGCCCGTTTCATGCGCCTTGCTGTAACTGGGCGGAGGGACTCCACTGTTGCCGTTTTAACTCCGTATTGTAGGAGTTGTTCATCTTTGTGCTTGTTAGACGTCTGGAGCGCCTTGTTCTCATCTTCCAATCGTTTAGTTCTCAGTTGAAGTTCTTCTCTTTCCTCTTTAGATCAGAATTTTCCAGGTTGACCTTTCGTAAGTGTTCCTGCAGTTTAAAAGACTCCTGCTGGGTGACCTTTTCATTTTCCCGTTCCATCTTTTTGATGTGCTCGACCAGCTCACTCGTTTCATTTTCGAGTTGCTGATACTGCCCAGCTTGGCTGATCTCAGCTGATCCTTGATTGCGATCAACTCATCATCTTTTGCTAATGCTGTGGTGGTCATCTCGACGAGGTCAGTGTTCAACTTTGCAATTTCCTGACTCTTTTGAGCGACCTGTTGTTGCCACTCTTTGTCCTTCAACTCCAATGTTGTGACCATCGTGTCCAGTCGCCGTGCTTCCTTCTGCCATTTGAGTCCTTCCTTAGTGACCTTTTCAATGTCTTCTATGACCTTTTCGTTCTCCTGGTTGACCTTTTTGATTTCTTCTTTCAGGCGTTCTCCTTCCGTAGCTGTGATGTCTCTTGCCTCTCGCATCGCTTTGATTGCATCATTGCGCAACTTCTCAGCTTCGTCCGCCCGTTCCTGATGACCTTTCGATTCTAGTTGTAGAGTACTGACTGCTTCCTCCCGTAGCTTCAGATCATTCCTTAGTTTGAACGTCTCCGTTGCCAATGTCGTTAACCGTTGTGTGACCTCTGCGAATTTAGTCGCGTATTCGTCCCGTTTAATTTCAGCTTCAGTGACCTTTTGACGCAACTGGTCGCACTCGTCCTTCAATTCCGCCAAGTGCCGTGACCTTTCTGCTGATTCCTCTGACATGCTTTCATTAAGGTCACTGACAGCGAGATGACCTTCCATTTCTCTGTCATCTGCCATCTTTAGGTACTCTTCTGCAATTTCCTTTTGTCGCTCATATTTGACTTTCCAACCGTCTGCGGAGCTCTGGAGGTCACCCTGTTGCTGTTCCAATTCGAATAAGCGAGTTTCGAGTGTCGATAATCTGTCTCGATATTCCTGTTTCCGCTTGTCCGCCTGACGTTCAGTGGCATCAAGTTCATTTTCCAGCTCCCTTACGCGTCTCCTAAGAGTTAACGTAGGACTGTTTGGTGACTGAGGTCGTACATTGATAACCTTTCCATTCTGTGTCCGGTCAATTAAATGTTCGGGGATATCCTTAAACGGGGTCACTTCTTCTGCTCGGTCAGCCTCTTTCATTGCAGTTTGAAAGGACATATTCATCGTTGCGTCATCATCTGTGAAGTATGACTCGTTGGATTCATCTGAGACCATTGGAGTTGCAAAAAGGTCATCGTCCGCGGTCTTATCGTTCAGTGAAAGGTCATCCAATCCCAGTTCAGTCAGTTCCTCTTCGGTGACCTTTGTGTTTCTCCCATCCACTTGAGCCAGGTTCACATTTTTATCCTGCTCATTCGTTCCACTAATGGTAGCATCAAGCTGTGATGCTCCAACTGGTTCCGCTCCCCTTTCTGTGGGTTTATCCTCCCCTGTGACCTTTGTCTGGTTCATCGGTTTGCCTCCCGCCGTAGACGCGGGAGTTTCCTTTCCGTCACCGCTGGAGCTCTCTTCGTTCTGTATAGCTCCAAGCGCCACTTGGTATGTGTTATCACTGCCTTTGCTGTCCTTTCTTGCAAAGGTCACAGCCGCTCGGGTCTGTCTATCATGTCCGACTGGACGCGCGAGCGACTTGTATTCCTTCTTATAAGGATCAACTGTGCCTTGTTGTGATCCTCGGGAGCTCCTGCTTCCCTGACTGCTAGTGGATGTCGGTTCCTCTTGTTCTTTGTCCATGTTGATCGGATAACTTGGACGCTCCTGCCAATTGTTCTCACACACACGTTATTGTATGGTTTATTCAGTTGTCCTAAAGGTCACTTCGTACTTCGAAATTTTTCTAAGTCCTTTGTAAAGGTCACTTTTCGATTGAAAAAATTTCGACTAAGTCCCGTTTAAAGGTCACTTTTTCGGTAAAAAGTTCGAGAGATTTGCCCTAAAAGGTCACTTTCGGACAAAACTTCGAAACCGTTTTTACAGTTTGAAACACGTTAGCAATGAAATCCTACAGCTGCTGATATCGCTGTATCACTATTCGCTTCAATTTCACTTCGATAAAGGTCACCTTTCGTCAGTTTCAGATCACAAAGGTCACTTAAATAAGTCAATTAGGACAATTCCAACTTTTTAGTAAAGGTCACTTTTCAGGTCAAAAGTCCTGTTCTGGTCTCAAAGGTCACTTTCTGACTCAATTCAACTCAAAAGGTCACTTTCCAACTCAGTTTCAAGTTAAAGGTCAATTTCCAGCTCAATTATATCAAAGTCACTTTCTAGCTCGACTTTGGTCAAAGGTCACTTTTCCTTTGTCTGAACTCAAAAGGTCACTTTTCGTCTCAATTATCTTATCTCAAATCAAATCTCCCATTACAGCTAGAGTTCAGCGGAAAATCCCCATTCGGGTTGTTTACTTCATTCTGATTGGTCCGCTAGCTCAAAATATTCAGTTCAAATTTCGGCCAATCACAGCTCAGATAACTGACCAATCACGTTAATCCGTTAAAAATTTTTATCTGCCTGACGTCACGGTCAACGGCCAGACATGCGCGCCGCGTGCAAAACTCCGCCTACTTTTACACTCAGCTCAGTACGGACCAATAAAAATTGCCAATTTTACCAACTAGCCAATCTCGTAATTATTAACGGTTTTCTACCTGTTAACCGTCCGTCCGTTCCGCGTTCCACGGGGAAATGATCCAAATGATCCAGATTCTTCTTCCACTATCCGTTCCCGCGCTGCCGCCGGTTTTACCGTAACGGTGGTGCCGCACGCTTTCGGTAAGTTACTGTGCCGGCTGACTGCCGTAGCAACAGTAGTGGCGCTCTACTCCAGTTTGGAGGAGTCTGATCTGTCTTTTCCCGTGCACCCCTTTTGGCGCTTCGCCGCTTGTGGCCCACGGCTTAGGATTCGCTGAATCCTTGCCGAGTAACAGTGACACCAGTGTAGGTCTTCGCTGAAGACTCTACACCGAGGAACACCGCCGACTGAACTCTTGACTCTTGCACAGCTAAGGAAACAGTACGGTTCTTCGCTGAAGATCCCGTACCGAAAACCGAAGCTGGAAATCCACGTCAGATGAGGCAGTTCACCGCTTGTGGTGTGCGCTTTGCTGTGGTACAGACCTGTGCCTTACTGGTCGAGTTCACATCAAATAACAGGCCAACTTTGCCTGACACAAATCAAATCAGAGAACCGCTGTCGGCTCTGCTACCATCTAATGGTAGATCCAGAATGGATCCACAGACGGAGACAGAAACGGAATCTATCCCGTGGAGTGAGCGACACGATCTGGGTCGCGAGCTATGCGGAAACACAAAACGTCGCACCGTAATCGCTGACTTTTAATAATATTGAAAATTCCGACAACAGAAAATCAACACTGATCGGCGCAGCTCGATCGTAAAGCGTGGAGCCCATTCAACAGCGTGCAACGCTGTGCAGCACGTGCTATGCCGCGCCCACTGACAAAACACAAGCCAATCAGAAGCGAGACACAACACAGGCCATAATCCAAAGGCGTGGCGCCTAGCGCCACTGACGTGAACGCTAGTGATCCCGGTCTCACACTCACTTGCTATCGCTTCGGATACGGATACGGCAAGATTTTCTCTTCGCGTGCTCGTTTGATTTAACTGTGTTCAGTCCGAGCGATTATTACAAATCCCCGACTCAGTTTTTGTCTGATTTGTGCGTTTTATCAGTGTTGTAGATATTGATGATAATTAGATCTGTGTCGGACCGTTGTAAAACGGTTTAACTTTTACTGAGACGACTGAGCCATAATTCGGTTGGTTCCTGCATCTTTAGACGTATTTGGAAATAATTGCGGAAGATGGCATCGGGTGCGGACCGTGCGGGTATGTCAGTAAACTAAGCGCACGCTTAACCGCGCTTGTGCATAGAGTCCGGCATTCGAACCGTCAACGCTTCCGTGTTTACGAAGAAGTGATTCAGCCAGCCGCTGATTTTATTGCTATTTCCGCTTCGCTCGCTTAACATCTCTATATCCCACTAATTAGGTAGGATGTTGTAGGTACCAGCGGGATGTCGTCGAACCCGACGATGGAACCGCGGCAACCAGGAAGTGAGGTTCGGTTGGTTCTCGTGTTCAAGCACGCCCTGACGTAAGTGCTACCGCCCCAAGGACGTAGATTGTAGTAGGGGGAATTTAACTGCTGAGGCCAGCACTCCCTGTACTTGCTGCCGTCAGCCGGCTGGAGTTTTACGTTGTGGCTAAACATGACGCTTATGTACCGCGCCTGATTTAACCATATGCATTGCCGTAACGTCACACTCCAGGCGGGTGACGGCAGCAAGTCCAGGAAGTGCTGGCCTCAGCAGTTAAATTCCCCTTATACAACACCGTGCGCTAGAAATCGGTTGGAGGTCATCGGCTTATTAGACGATTGACCACCATCACACATTGCAGGCGCGTTCGCGTCAGACAGGCTTTCCGTTCTCTCGTTCCCTTACGCAACCGACCATACCCACAAAACGAATAATTTTTAAACAATTTCTGGCGGTCGTTAACACTTATCTGCCATTTTTTTATGTTTTCTTTAACCACTAACTGTATATTGCAGGCACGTGGCTGGACAGGGTAAATTTAGCCAAGAACTGTTGGACAAACTGCAAGCGGTACGTGAAAGTCTTTCTTCGTTGTAATAAATGCGCTTTGTTGTTGTGTCGTCGTTATTGGAAGAGACGAAGCAGACTGCAGACGTATCAATTTATCGACGGGAAAGGTCGCGTTTCAGATTCTGGCGACCCATAATTTTACCAATCAGTTCATCGTAATTTGTAATGCAGTCAGATTGTAGCGTTGTTGATTACAGGATGCTGTTTTCTGTTTCCAGGTACAGAAGCGAAAAAGCCTCATGTTGGAGGTGGATCCGCGTGGTATCAACATCGCCGACGTCAAGGCGTTTGTTCTGCATGAACTGCAGATGACGGATCTCCCGGTCCAGGTTCGTGCATGCGAATTTAGCCTGAACGTCGTCAGTTTAGCGCAATACCGCCTTTCTAAAGCCATAAGACTACTGCTGCCTGTTATTTTTATGGCGTGAATATCGTTATTTTTAACTCCACTGGATGCTTTTTAGATGGCGGTGATATTGGAGAAGAAAATTATTTTGGACACGGTTTTCATCTCTGAACTGATCCAATGGGGCGTTTCAAAAAGGGTACGACGTATTTCCTCCTTTTAGTTGTAGTATGCTATTGCCGTCTACCGGCACTATGCATAGGATTTTTTTCAACCGTTATGGCCAAATACGAGTATAATCTGGTTTTCTGTTTCTGCCATAGAACCGTGTATAATACTTTACTTTCGTTCATCACAGGTGGGCGCCGCCTACAGCCTCGAATACACCCTTCTCCCGGCCGAAACATCGCTTCCCATTGCCGTCGACCAACAGAACGGCCTGCTGAAGCAGGCAGATCCCGCGGCCGGTTGCCACACTACCCCGCCACCGGCGCCTATCCCGCCTTCCAATCCCACTGTTTCCCCTCCGGAACCTTCACCACCTTCCCCTGAAATTCCCGTACCCGTCCGCGGCGTTGATGTGCCGAGTCCGCAGGGTTCCAGTGCGGCCGCACCATCAGACGGTGAAGTCACAGCGCCCGCAGCTACGCGCAAACGACGTCGTCCACAGGCTGCCGGTGCGAAGAAGATCCTGGATTCAGGTAGCGCCCTTCCACCACCACCCCCCGGGATGGGAGGAGAACCGGGTCCGAAGCGGCGATTAGTGTGGGTGCCCCCGGCAGTACCACGGGTGGCGGCGCGCGGTGTCTCCGTCGGCGAGGTCGTGAATCCGGGAGGGAGTGTTGCTCCGGCGCATGTGTTCGCCAGCGGATACGGGCAAATGGCCAACGGTAAGGATGAGTGCCCGCGTTTGCCGTATTTCAGCACGTAGCATGTAGCGACTCCCTACTATCCATACTGAAGTCCTTTCTTAATTATTATTATTATCGCAATACAGTAGCCAAATCTTTTAATGGAAATTTCTTACCAGCTACTGGAAAAGTTTTTTTTGGTTAAATTTTATGCGCTAGAAAAATCAGAAAATTTTTTAAGTGGGTCTAGAAATTGGAACGAACTGGTAATTTTTGACAACTTTTTTGAAGTACGAAAACTTCGGTAAATTTTGCATCATTTTGCTAATAAAGGTAACTGTACGATATGTCACCAGTTGTTCATTTGTATTCATTTTCTGTCTCG